TTACAATATATAGGTACTGCAACCATGAGCACATCCCTCATGACCGTTTATTTTTTTACCTCTAAAAAGCCTCCACATACAATTGTATAACACCTCACAGGTTAACAAATGTAAATGATGCATTTTGCTCATGATTAAGACAATGTGCAATATAACAGCTACCATAGAGCAATGCCCATACAGCTGTCCAGTCCTGATGGCTTCATTCGATAGGCGTACTCACCAGTGAGCATGAAAGCAGTGGTTTTATATGAACAATTTAAAGAATACCTTTCACAGAACAGGTGGGTATTTCATACTGCTGCAGTAAGGAAGACATTTAAATTTATTATTGCACACAAGGGCTGCTGAAACTAAACATCACTCTCTCTGACAGAAACACCTCACTGAGTGATTTAACTCATTTATGTCTAACTTTCAGTTTCTCTTTCGCCGCAAAACCCACGTCGCTCTCTATGTGCGTCGCTACAGTTCCTCGAACTACGTTGTGTACTTTAAAGCGCTCATCATCGTTAACAATTGGCGGTGATTTTTCAAGTTGACTGTCTGTAGTAAATAGTGCCGCGCACATATACCATCAGGACGTTACTGATGGGGTGCGGCTGCGGAGTGATACTGTGTGTATGCAAGTCCGCATCTAGGACGGATCTATGTATCATGGCTGTAGACCTGTTAAGTAATAAAGATACCTCATACAAAGGTCTACGGATACCTTATTACTCTCCATGACCTGCGGTCAACTATATAGCATAAAGGACTTTTACACCGTCTTTCTTGAACAATCCGAAGTGTTGCCAAATGTTTGAGTTGTAGGTTCCATGTGTGTTGATAACTGAGACTCTCTGCCTCCGTAGTGGCGAAGTAAATATCAAAGATCGTCTCTGCTGAGCGTTGACAAGATGAGGGGATTTTATATGAATGAATCGGTTTTTTACCGATGCAAAGACGCTACGCAATCGATGCATCGCGAGTTCAACCCAAACTGTAGCCGATGTGCACTCTTTCGACCGGTGCACGCATCTTGAACGTTTATGCCGGTGCACCGATGCGAATCGGTGAATCTTAACATCTCTAATGCACACACACACACACACACTCAATCAGTCCCCGTCTGAAGGAGGGAGCGGGCCCTTGAAGAGGCATCCATCCCTGCGGTGTTTGACTAGTTTGGCTCCTGTGTTTTGTCTTGATGAGGATCTTGAGACAGAGCTGCTTCCTGTAAAGATGGTAGATAGGATTTACATGCACAAAAACCTATAATACATGACACGAAAGGGAAAATCCCAAAAGCATAATAGGGCCCCTTACAAAATGAGATGTGATTTTGTTATATACAAATGTCTATCATCTGTACCAACACTGCTACTATTTGTATTTTTTTTGGTGCTGCTCCTGCTGACAGGTTGCTATTAAATATAGTGTTTATGTACACCCACCCCTTCTTTGCGTCATCGAAGCGGAAGGCGTGTTTGGTGGAGACAGAGATGGAGTGCGTCTGCACAATGCCAGGGAACTGCAGTGGGTGTGCCTAATCTATTTGAAGAGCCATATTTTATGTGTGTGCATTGCATGCCCTAAGTGACACACATAGGCAGCTGATGTGTGTGTGGGCTGTGGCGGAAAACATTTCATCATGATGAGATGATCATCAGTCCTTCTCCTGTCTCAACACATCCCTCCCAGCTATTCCCTGTTTTTTTTAGAAAAATCCATGTGTTCATTCATCCATCAACTGTATGTGTTCTCCATCCATTCCTCTGTATTTGGCTCCCGGAGGTTACATGTGTACTGTGTTTCCCCGTAAGCAAATCCATTCACTCACTTCACAGCGGGATGGGAGACTGGAGACAGGAACGCATCTTCCCAGATGTGGATGTACTGCCCCTTCATCAAGTGTCAGCAGAATAAGAATTTGTCGCTGAAATGACCTGATATTAATCTCCATGGACACACAAGATTGTACAAAAGGAAGCAGGTAGATCCATGGCAGATGTGTTTATTGTACTGTGTAAGAAGTAAGTGCACTTTCAGTAATCTTTATAAATAATTCCACAAAAGCTTCAACGTTAATTCAAAGTTGTGCTTAGAAGTGTATGTTCCATGCAGTCATATTTCCAACTCCTTTGTGTCTTGCATACAAACTCAATCATCTAACTGGCACAGCAGAGCAGAGGCTTTTGATATCCAGTAGTCGCTGGGTCGGTTGGAGGGAAGCATTACTGTCACAACAAAATTGGTCGAGTGACCTGGATGGAGACAGAAATGAAGGGTGATGGGAACAAATAAGATAAATCATTACATTGCTTAAGGCACAAAACTGCAGGGAACAAGCTTTTTGTTCATGCCCTAATCGATTTTGGGCTATTATGCTTCCATAACAAGTATTCTTTCAGACTATTGTTGAGAAAACATCTAAAATATGCATGAAGGTAGTTATAAAACGATATATATGTATCCAGAATTACCAGAAATTAGCATCACATATTGCCTTATTTGCATGAACTGGCAAGGTTCCACGGATTTGTATATTAGTTAACAGTGTTAGCTTGTTCATCGTTAGTGTCTTGCAACATGTAAAGCATACAACAAAGATATTTTTTTCCCCTCATACTCTGAGCCAAAAATCTCCACTTTGGTAAAGAAACCAAACTTTCCAGCTGTAAATCTTTTTATAATCTGAAGTTTCATGGATCATTTCTAGCCTGATTTATATCACATTTTATTTGATAAAATCTAGCGACAATGGATTTAATGGATAATGGCTCTTCGCAGCCTTTTCTTATTAACAGGAAGCTCTAATATCTCAACAATCAATCAATGTTTATTTATATAGCCCAATATCACAAATGTTACATTTGTCTCAGTGGACTTCACAGTTTGTACAAAATATCAGTATGACAATACGACACCCTCCTTAGAGCCTCACATCGTACAAGAAAAACTTCCAGAGAAACCCACAGTTTAAAGGGGAACATGGGAGAAACCTCAGGGAGAGCAACAGAGGAGGGATCCCTCTCCCAGGACAGCAGACGTGTAATAGATGCCGTGTGTAAATCGAAAAGGTAATACATACAACAAAACAATATTTTTTTGCCTGGCTTCATCCAATGTTTAGATTGCTGTTCTGGTAATTAACCATTAACCATATTTGATACTAAGGGGGACCGTGCCTTTGAGGCGGTGGCTCCAAGGCTTTGGTATAAACTCCTGCAGAAATGAAGAGCCTCTGTCTCAGTAGAGATTTTGAAGGGGCGTCAGAGGAGGTGAGTTCGTAGCTGTTTTTCATTGCTGTTTTATCCTATGTTTTACTTGATGTGTTTTATGCTTTTTTCTACATTTTATAGTTGTGCTTTGAATTGTGTATTGTGTACTGTATACTTTAAAGCACTTTGTACATTCGTGTTGTGAAGGGTGCTATATAAATAAAGTTTTACTCACTTACTTACGGTACTTTAAAGTTGTAAGTTATTGTTCTGTACACCAAACACTCCCCATCATGAAAAGTGAGTCATTATAAAGGTATAATTCTATTCTAAAGTGGCCTTAGGCAAATCAATAAACCCCTGCCTTCTGATTCTGTGTCAGCTAAATGTAAACATGGTATAATGTCAGAGCGTACCTGTGGTGGACAGAGTCCCAGCTCTGGCAGAGGTTTTGTACAGAGGAGCTTGGTAGAGGTCGGGCTCGGGCACGTAGTTCTGCTGCGGCTCAAAGTGCACCACGGGCAGCATGGAGTTCATCACCCGGGGTAACGCATCCTCGATCACCATGTTGTCATTGTCCCAGCGACTGGAATCCATAAACATGCCGTGCACGAGCACGCCGTCCTGCGGCTCTGGTAGCTGTTGCATCGACACAGGACATGGAGTAATGGTGAACCAGGAAACATACTTTCAGTTAGCAATCCTCTTTCTGCAACTTGTTGACATTTCCCGTGATCCATTTCAAAAAAGACTTCATATACATTATCATTTTTATTATTTGGATTGTCTTTTTTGTAATTTCATTATATTTTTTAATCCTAACACAAAACATCTATAGCACTGATGTCCGTCCTTCCTCTATAGCTTTCCATGAGGTTTGTTTCATTTTTGAGTGAATTTAAGTTCATGCAAAATGCTGCTGAACGCGGAAACCTCAAAGTGAGAACAATTCAAATGCTTCATCATTTAAAAAATAACTTTCTCTTAATTTTTTCAATGTCCTTGTGAGAGAGCCACCACATTAGGGGATGGGGACAGCAGTATGGGGGGTTACATGCAACAATGTTCCCCCACAAAGATTCTGCAGTCACCGGTTGGTGCCCCCAAAGCAACTAGGACAATGTTAATTTATCACAATTCTTAAATATTACTAATCAACAAAAACCTCCCTTTTCAGTACCTCATCATCGATGTCCAGTTTGGTGTCTTCGGGCAGATCCCGTAGAGACTCGGAGACCGCCACCTGGTCTCGGAACACCGGCACCATGTTGAAGCGGAAGTTGAGCTCATCAATGGGCAAATTGTAGTGTCTGGCGTGATTCTGAAGTACCCCTACAGGCCAGCAGGCAGAAAAGAGCATCTTATTGTTTTATTTTGTTGTGTTACTTTGTGTTACCAGTGACTTTTTTCAATTGTTTTCAATGGGTTTTCAATTCTGATCATTGTGACGTTTTTGTGCGGCCGCTTCGAGTGCTTTAAGTTTAAAATACTTGAAGTTAAAGCGCAACAGAAAAACCCTTGTGCCCTCACTGAAGAAAAATGGAGGAGCAGTTTCTTTTTGCTGTGTCTTTCGTCTTTGCTCTACGGCTGCCGGGCGGCTGTGAGCAATGAAACACATTTCTACAAAATCGCAAGAATCCTCCAGTTGGTATTCATTGTGAAAAAACAACGTCAAACTAATATAAAGTAGCCGAAATAGATGGATAAAATCCAAAAGACATAGGGCCTTAAAGTGAGTTTGATGTATTTTAGCAGCTTTGAATTTCTGCTTACCGTAATCTTCGGACTATAAGCCGCGCCTTTTTCCCTATTTTTCGACGCTGCGGCTTATATAACGGTGCGGCTAATCTATGGATTTTTACAGCTAACGGCCAACACCTTTAACTCTATGGGCTCTATGGCCGGTCCGCGGACCCCCACCTTTAAGCGGCGGGTTCCAGCAGGAAAAGCTGGAGGCCGGAAAAGAGTGAGACAGGTAGCGCGCAAAAGTAAAAGTGGAACCGAGAGTGGTATGCCGCTGCTGCGGCTTATATTCAGGTGCGCCTTATAGTCCGAAAATTACGGTAGTTACCTCTATGGCTTATGGGGAAAACATGATAGACATTATGGTGTGTTTTACCAGTAAGGAAGCCTTGAGGGAAGAAGAACCCTGAGATCCAGAAAGATTTGGGCTGACCCTGATTGATCCACATCTAGAAGGAGAGAAGAAGAGAGCAGGGTGATTCAAATGTATCTTTAAATAACTTTGAAATGTGTTGTGTCAGTGTTTAACAAGCCATGATGCATTACAGGCACCCTGTTACTTATGGGACCCGAGAGTGGACTGGCAGTGAGGTGGATTCTCTCTTCAGAGGCAGTGAGCATGTGACTCAGCGAATACACATCGCTTCATAAACTAATGCAAAGCTGCCGGTTGCCCCCTTTGTGTTTGTGTGAGAGAGGAGGATTAAGTGATGTGCAAACACATGTTCAGACCAGTCTCACGGAAGAACAGTTTAAGCCAGGGGAGACGCACCAAGTGCTCAAAGACGGTGTGCAGAGGGAGAAAGAGGCATAAAGAGATGCCTTGGGAATAAATGCAGAGTGTTCATGAGTTATTAGCGTTTTTAAAAAACACACACATAAATACACAAAATGTGTATTAGCACATTTCTGTATGTTTTTGCTACTCTCTTATTCATTAACTTCCTTTTCTGTTGTCTTTCAGTCAAAATGACGCATTTAAATAAAAGACAGTGCCTAGGATGACATTTCCTTGTCCAAACCTGGATGAAAGCGGTCCTGAGGGTCAGGTCCCTGACCCAGGAGGCCAGGGGTTTGAGGGAAGGGTAGGCAGAGTTTGCCCAGTGGGTGGGAACCTGGTTGTTCAGGAAGCTTGTGTATATGCAGTCCATCTCCTCTGACATCACCACAAGACCTGCGATGGCCTTCTTGAGAGTCACAAGGGACAACTGGGGAAAAAAAGAAAAAAGTACAGTATATCAGAATGAGGTAGAGAAAATAAAATAGGATCTCTTAAAAAGTTATTTATGATGTATCCAATGTTTAATACATGCTGTCTGAACATTGTTTTTCTCGATTTTGTTTTGCCTTATCGCTTTTGCTAAATATAATTCCGCGAGCAGTGTTTGCTAGCATAAATAACTGACATGAAATAAACCTTGACGAAAAAATATACACTCAGTGGACAGTTTGTGATGTACACCTGTACGATGTAGTTCTATTAAGTGTTCTGCCAGCACAACTTATATACTTTTCTATACATTTATACTACTGCACTTTTATGATGCCTACTATGTTTTTCAACACTCTCTTAATGGATGTTATTCAATTAGCACTGAGGTCAGAGTTAGTGTTGTAACGAACTGCATAACATTCTTTCTAATATTCTTCCTCTCTCGTGTAAATGAAAAGATAAATATGTACATTCAATGATAAACATATCATTGAATGTACATATTCAAGACAGTGACAATTTTTCTGTTCCCTAAAACAAATTACTGTAACACTTCTGGATATGAGTGTACACTTTTGAGTGTTTACTTGGAATCACAGTCTTCCAATATAATCTCTTTATGTAGTCACAGATATGAGAACCTTACATCATTCACTTATTTATTTAGAATCGGTTCTTTGGACAGTTGGGATGAGAGGATAGCTCAAGCAGACACAGATACACATGTTAACTAAAGACCACTCGATACTGACATTTACATTCATATACTGTAAAACTAAACTAAAGAACCTTGTAAATGTAGGTAGAATGTAGGGCAAAACTGTTGCAATAAATTCAGGGTTCATACACTTTTTCACCAATGATTTTCAATGACTTCTCCATGACCTTCACCTAATTTTCCATGACCAAAAAAATAACTCTTTCTCAGTGGTACCACTGAAAATGGTTTATTTTAACATGGAACAGGAAAACAAGGTCTGCATATGAAACATGTTGTGCCTTTCTAAAAACAAATCAAATAGTAGGCTTGCTAGCTTCTACAGGCTAACGCAACTAAAATCTCTCACCAGCAAAATACCTCGTCAGTTAAATGCCCTTTTACCTTTCNATCTATTATTTGGCATTCAGTGACATGCTTTTTAAATGTTATAACACAGAATATTAGTCAACATTAATATTCAGGGAAGAAAATAAGTCTACTTTTTTTGATGGGGGGTGGTAAGAGACCTGGATAATGGACAGGGGGGCGCTGGCCCAAAAAAGGTTGAGAACCCCTGTGTAAACATTTTCAAACCCGCCTTTTAGCCGAATACCAGATCGGACTGGTATACCTAATTCTACCCACCAAGTATCGCACTAGAGTCAGCAGCCGCGCATGTCTTTTTAAAAATGTACTATTTATCTATTCAAGATTATACACAAACGATGATCATACACTCTGCAGACATGCAAAGGAACACAAAATCACTTAAAGTAAATAAAAAAATATATATACAGTATTTGTATCATTTTTTGTAGTGCTAATATATTGCTTTAGTTCTTAGTTGAAATCTTCAAAATGTGGTTCGGAGTCAGCCCTTCTCCTTTTTTGGATAGGAAATTTCCCTAGAAATAAAATGAACTGCACAAAATGCTTCCATACCATCAGCTTTGACGGACATAATAATGTCTCTGTCCTGGAGTTGTACTTTTTGTCCCGTTTTCTTTTAATAAAATATTGCTAATACCAAAACATTCTACAATACATACAGTGGGGCAAAAAAGTATTTAGTCAGCCACCAATTGTGCAAGTTCTCCCACTTAAAAAGATAAGAGGCCTGTNATCGTATAGTAATGAAAGGTAAAAGGGCATTTAACTGACGAGGTATTTTGCTGGTGAGAGATTTTAGTAGGCTTGCTAGCTTCTACAGGCTAACGCAACTAAAATCTCTCACCAGCAAAATACCTCGTCAGTTAAATGCCCTTTTACCTTTCATTACTATACGATACAGTATTTATTATCATTATATTATTACTATTTCGGCGATTAGATAAATTATAAATGATATTTGATGCAACTTTAGTAACATTTCCATGACTTTTCCAAAACTTTGGGAGAAATATTGTTTTCCATAACTTTTCCAGGGCCTGGAATTAGCATTTTGAATTTCCATGACTTTTCCAGGTTTTTAATGACCGTAAGAACCCTGTAAATTGCACTAGGTTGTACTGGTGAAGAGAGACGATAAAAAAAGCAATAAATTAGCCAGTGTGTTATATATATATACTAGAGTGTGTTTATGGGAGCTAGCCATGTGTGTCACCTTGAGCACCCTCAGCAGGTTGTTGAATCGGTCCACCTCTTGGCCCAACACGGTCGTCAGGGAGTTAAGGCGGCCGTTTTCGTCCCTGATAAAAAGAGTTTCGACCGCCTCGTCCATTTCCAGAAGATCTGCACACAAAGGTAGAAAAGTAGGGAGACAACCAGACACAACAACACAGATGGAAAACACTGTGTTATATTTTCAGTTAATGATGATGCACATTCTCTTCCTTTTAAAAATAAAAGCTTATAGTTAGGGCTGGCTCAGGATTACCCTGAACCAGCCCATAGTTGCGCGACTATAGGCTTAGACTTTTGGGGGCTTTCACCCCTCTTCTCCTACTTCTCTTTATCTGTATTCATGTCCCATACATGCATGATACACACATGTATGTTTGTGTTTGCATGTACCTGGTAGCTTGGCTAAGATGGATTCAGCGAGCTCGCAGACTATGTCATCGTTACTTTTGGCCCCAGCGCAAGCTGATGAGCGAGGATTCACATCCAATATGGTGCTGATCAGAGTCATGGTTTCTTGGCGCTGTGGAAGCAAACACATAATAAACACTCACATACTGAAGCACCCTCTTTCATTGATATTTCACAGTTGCCCTCTCACGCTCTCCGGAAAGAAATGTTTTTACAAGCAGCTGTAAAATGTATGAGCAGCTCCAGTTTAAAGTAGACTTGACAAATAAATAATGATATTTGCTAGTTAAAAGGAGTTATTGGAATACATAACGCATCCGAAAAACAAACAAAAATAAAATTACGAAAATTAGTTTACAACATCTGCTCTTTAGAATGCGTATATATATATATTTCTGTAAGATACTGTTACTGTATGTTGTCTTACCTGAAAGGCCAAGTTGGCATTCTCATGCATGCCAAAGACCTCGGGATCATCTATGATCGGAAGACTCTCGATATATTTCTTATATTGCTCCAGTTCATCTTCCTCCGGGGCAAAGTAGATACCTTAAACAGACGTGAGAAAAACTGTTAATCCAAAGAAAGTATTATGGGCATACACCTGCTATATTAAATACCATTATATTGTAATGTGTTTCTGTTAGTTGTGCTCTTAATCCCTCTCAAATGAAATACCTGAGTGGGAGTAGGAGTAGCCAGACCCCAGGGTTTTACGCGAAAAGAAGCCTTTCAGGATGGTCCTGAGGCAGCGCTGGTCCCAGGCATCCGTCACTCTGCCTCCATATGTGATCTCACCTTGGGAGACAAACACAAAAAAAAACCACATTGTTATTAGTCTGCATTACATTTTTTCTTTTTTATCTTACACAACGCAAAACAATATTTTCTTATCATTACGCTCGATGCTGTGTCACAAAAGACTGCAGTAGGATCACTAACAATCAATAACGGATGACAGGCTCATTGTTGCCTTAAAGGTGACCTATCATGCAAAATGCACTCTTGTACGTCTTTTATACATGAGTATGTGTCCCCGGTGTGTCAGGGAACTCACCAAGTGTCAGAAAACACAACCCTCTCTCTTTTCCTCCATACCCAAATCTCTAAAAACAGGGCTGCAACGGATCTGATACAGACTGATCCAGATTTGAAATATCTCTGACGTCAGGAACGAGGAGCTCCGCCTATATTGGCAACCCTCCACCTATCAGGAGGAGATAGCCACGGCCATTGCCGTTCGAAAGCGCTGGAGACGCTGTAGTACATATGCCAGGCCTGTAGGTGGCGCTGTAGTATGCCACAAATGCAGCAAAGAAGACTTCTCACAGATTCAGCCCTTGCAAAAACAGAGCAAATAGAGCGAAATGAGACATGGCTAAAATGCATGATCTGTTTGGTATTATGAAAACATTTTTTTTGCAGATATAGGTATGGTCCTACAATATATATTTCAAATATAGCATGATAGGTCCACTTTAAGTGGGTAGCAGGAACTCTCTGACGGCAGTACTTTAGGCTAGTTTTGAAATATTCCAATAAATACTACAAAGACCATATTCATGGTTTATCTTATTCTGTTAAGCTCCTTGTAACTACTGTATGTTTGAAAAGTGCTACACAAATAGTTATCTTCATTATTTGACTGTGTCACATACTGTATCTGTAAGGGCAAGACAGAGAGGGCAGGAGGATGTGGAGGTGGGGGGATACCGGTTGGAATGTCATTTTCTAAAACTACCATTCTGCTCTTATGCATACGTTAATAAAACCTTGAATCTTGAATATTTGAAAAAGACCAAAACAAAAAGACGAATCGTCGATGAGTGTCTGCAGCCCTTTGACTTTTCCTATAACAATGAACAGCACAGAGAAGCAAACACATGTGTTGCTACAAGGAAAATATAGACAAAAGGAAAGGATATATGAAAGGACAGCCATAGCTGGAGGGTGAATATTACTAAAGAGGAACATGAAATGATATGTAACACTTACAACCCAACACTTTCCGTGAGGACAGTTATGTAAGACAGTAAGGAAGGGGGGGAATAATCAGACAGATCTCTGCTGTAGCCTTTAGTAAGCTGCAGGCGCGGTAAATATAGCAGAGACTTTATTTTTGCACTAGAAGAGAGAAATTAGTTCTAAAAGAGGAACAGCATTATCATACATGGTTTGAATTTAAAGTCTTGCCCTCAAAGAGTGTGAAGCTGTGGCACACGAGGACTGTTAGAATTAAGGATTAAACTAATATCGCGTGATAGCAGAAATGAGAGATGAATTTGATGCAGCGCTCCACTGAGACGGCACATAATCATTTGAAGGTGTAATTGAAAACCAGATTAGGAAAACAAATTAACTTTAGCGATGTGATGAGTATTGTGAACGAAAGGGATCCCTCCCTCTTCTTCTTAATGACATTACATGTGTTTGTTATGGAAGACTAAAACAGAATATATTCAATCATCCTAATTCAATCAAATGTACATTTAATTTGTTTCCATATGTGGGCACAGGATTAAAAAGTTTCATCTTTATAAAGGCATTATCAAACATAATTCAAATAGAAACATTTGTTTTCAGTAAACTAAAGTGAATGTCATGGTCGGCAAACGCTAAAAACCCAGAGCTCACCCAGAAAAAGTTTCTCTCGCACACTCCCCCCCTGCCTAAAATTCCCACTTCTATTGGCCAGAGTTCCAACACATTGTACATTATAGGCTAAAGGGGGGAACATCTCTATGGGTTAAAGCAGAGACGGTCTGCTAACCAATCAGAGCATATTACAGCATGTAAACATGTCACAGTAGAGCACTAAATACAAATATGAACCTGACAATGAGCATAATATGTCCTCTTTATATTGAATTAGTTGAATACAAATAATCATAATTGTTACCCTGTGAAGTAATTTGAATATTTAGTCTACCCTCATTGGTATAAATGGGTCGAACATTCATATACCTTGATAAATGCTGTAAAGTCAAACTATTTCATATTAAAGGACCTCATAGCCACAATATTAGGATTTCTTTATCTGCTGCACTTGACAAGATTTGCAGCGAATGGGACCATTTATTATTTTAAACACAAAGCCAAGAAGTAGAGAGCAGGGAAAGTTCACTGAGAGAGAGTTGAACAAACACGGGATAACAGCTGCAGGAAAGAGTGACATTGTGTTGGAGAACCGCCCCGCTTTGTGCAACCCATTGTACTTTACAATGTATTAGGACATTGTGATTAGAGCAATACCAATTACATTAACTTGTGCTTTTTGAAAATGATTGATTTACGCATTTAGGTAGATCGGCAATGTATTGAATATCAAGGGAAAAAACAGATCATACGATTGATTCTTTTAAGCAAATCTAATCCAATAGGGCGCCGTATAATGTAATAACATTGGCTAACTAGCTTGTTAGCTTGGTAGCTATGGTAAGTTAGCTGGATAAATAGTGATGTTAGCTAGCTTGATTTACAGATAATCACATGTGTCAAACTCAAGGCCCGGGGGCCAAATCAGGCTAGCTAAATAGCACGCGGACAGGGTAATTGAGTTCGGTATCTAGGTTGTTTTTTATTATTGTCAACACTTTGGACCTTTGCCTACCCTTCTGCCATTAAGAATTATTATAAACTGTTGACATGAGCTTTAGTTTGCAGTCTGAGCGGCAAATCAAATAAATGTCCTCATATGTAATTCTGCCATTCACTAAGAGAGGATGGATGTGGTACTGTAAATCCATACTGCAGTGTAGCTTTAAGTAATCTTGAATAAAATCAATTGTTTACAATGCTGTTATTTCTAAACCGGCAGCCCTAAGACATACTGTTACGACCCCCTCCACTCCAGTAGAGGTCTCTGTCTTTGTGTTCTGCTTGTTGGCTCTTGTTTGTGTTTCAGGTGATCAATCTGATGAGCCACACCTGGGCCATCGACATACAGTAAAAGGCCAACACCAACCCATACTGTAGTGATGGCAAAATGAAGCTTTGAATGAAGCGTCGAACCACTTGGACAATTGTGTCGGAAATAGGTTCATTTCTCGAAGCTTCAGTTACAGCGACCTCTCCTGGCGAAGTGCAAGGCTGCAATGGGTTTAACGTATCTTTGCCTTGAAAAATATTTGA